CCCTCCCTCTCTGAGGCACAGGGTAACAGTACCTCGTGCTCTGCAGTGACATAACCAACCACGTGACTGTTTTACTAGAGCATTCCATCTTTCTTCCACCAGTGGTCGGTTCTCGGCGGAGCGGGTTGGGGGGGGGGGGCGTGCCAGTGGCTGTCCATTCATTCATGACTGAACCCCAGGGCTAGTACACAAGATGTGCCCGACAGATGTCAGATAAATGAACAAAGATGCACACTCAGGAAAGTGCAGAGCAGAGCACACCCCAGGGTCACCCCAGCCTGGGTGCACAGCACTTAAGCAGAGATCAGGGTGGCTTTAGGGCAACCGAGCCACGGAAGACCCTGAAGGCAGACAGAAAAAGAAGACATTTGAGTGGCGGGAGGCAGATGTTCAGTGGGACTTTCCTTCAGATGCCGCCTCCTCCAGGAAGCCTTCCCTACCCCCATCACCCCAGGGCTCCCTCCTTTCCTGCCAGGGGAGACAGAGAGGAAAGGAAAAGAAGTGGGATCAGAAAGAGGGTACAAACAGAGGGAGGCCTCAGTTCCTGCTGGCTCCAGATTCTCCCCGGCAACTTCTGCACGTTTCCTATGCACTGGACAGACCCGTCCCTCTTTCTCAGTTCCAGGGATGGGTAAGACTGCTCTCCACTCTACCCCGCCCCGGCCCCACCATCCCCGTGGGCCAGCACCAAGAAACCTCGACTGGTCAGGGTCCCTAGCCGTGTGCTGACAGCCCGGCAGGGTTCAGGGCTGTCGGAGGAAGCACTGTCACTTCGAGAGGCTCAGGGTCAGGCCTCAGATGGGGGGCTATAAAAGTGATTCAAGACCTGTGGGAGGGAGGCGACAGGTCCAGACAAGGCAGGCAGGCCCAACCGGACTTCATGCTGTGACTGGTGAGGGAGGGGGAGAGGTGCAGAGAGAGGGACGGCACTGGTTGGGTCATCCGTGCAGCCACCGTGATGGCTGTAAGGAGAACGACAAAGGCTGCTGTCCTCCCAGAGCTGACACAGTCCAGGTCTAGGGAGGAGAGCGGCTGCTGGGTCCTCGGAGCACGGGCCCCCTCTGCCAGAGGGCAGAAGACCGGACCCATGTCGGCCCAGTAGGCCTAACACCCACATGGCGCTGGATCCAGGTCAAATAGAGAAAGAGGCTGGGCAGGGAGGGCCCCAGAGTAGCCCTGGAGCAGCAGGTGCTTCTGGTCTGGATGCAGCACCTGCAGACTGACATCCGGGTTGGGAAGACTGGATCTCCCCCTTAACACTGGCGTGCCTTTATCCTTTATGTCTCCAAGCCTCCATCCACCTCCCTGTAAGATGGGGATAAATATAGACCCTCTAAAGGGTGTTAGGAGGATCTGAAATAGGTGGTGTGGGTAAAGCCCCTGACTCAGGGCACAGAGCAGGTTCAGCACACTTCCCGTACCCGGGAGCTTCAGGACACCGCTCACTGACCTGACACTAGAGAGGGCTGTGGACTCGGTCAAGCATGGACCAGCTTAATGATTAAACCCAACCAGCAGCTTGAATTCAGCCTCTTCTCCAACCAGAACTACCAGCGAATCCCAGAGTGAGCCCCAGGGGCTCATGGAGGGAAGGGACAGGAAGGTGCTAGTGGAGAAGGTGGCGGGTGCCTCCCCCCCTCCCTCCCTGTGGAATTCTGCTCTCCCCTCCCCTGCCCTGCGTACATGTTTCATCTTTTTCCTTTGCAAAACCCAGATTACGGCTAAAAGCGTGCAGGGGGAAAAAAAAAAAAGCCATGTGGTGGTGTTAAAAGAGAGCCCTGGGTCTGCTAAGCCCAGCTTTGCCATTGCCTGACTGTGTGAGTTGGGGCAGGTGTCGCAACCTCTCTGTGCCTCAGTCTCCTCATCTGTGAAATGGAAGAGAATGACAACTTATTTTGCAGGGCTGAACTGAAACCAGAAAGGGAATGGGTAATGCACATAGTAAGAGCATAGAAAACATGAGTTCCCACGCCAACCCTTAATGCTTGTTTATAGGGCCTTGCAAGGGGCCACCACAGTGCTGCCCCTCAGTCGATGACAAAAGACATTCCTTTTGGGGGGGCATTTCCTTATCACATACAATAGCACAGAAGGGGTACTCAATAAATGGTATCTGAACCATCAGTCGGGAGGCTACTGCATGTCATGGGAAGACTGCAGGACTTTGGAGCTAAATAAACCTGGATTTCAATCCTGGTTCTTCCAATTGGATAAGCCATGTGAAGGGGAATGAGTCATTTTACCTCTCTGAGCCTTGGTTTCCTTATCTGTAAGACGGAGATGATAATGCCCACTTTACAGGGTTGTTGTGAGAACTCAGTTCATTCATTCATTCAACAAATATTTACTGAACATCCATTATGTCCCACCCACTGCTGCAGATGCTGAATATATGGCAATGAACAAAATGGGCAAAATCCTCCTGGGGGAGACAGACAATAAACAGCTAACTGCACAGACCATGTAGCACGTGGTGATCCACGCTAAGGAGAAACCCACAGCAGGAGGAGGGAGTGGGGAGTGCTGGGGGCAGGGGCAACGACAAGAGCTTCCTGGAGCAGACACCATGTGGAGGTTTGGGGGAAGAATGTTCCAGGCAGAGGGATCGGCAAGTGCAGGAGCTTTAAGGAGAAGTGTGCTTGGCATGTAAATAAAGCCACATATGCAGGAAGCCTGGCATGGAATCCAGGTGCTCGGCAAATGCCAGCTCTCTATTTCAAGTCCCATAGAAGGAACCCCACGCATGTGTCCTTTTCCTGAGAATGAAAGCGCAAGGATTTCTACAGGGCAATGCTGAGCCAAGGGCTCTTTCTGGCTAAGATGCAGGCAACACGTGAGCTCCACCGCCAGCTTTGGGGCCCCACCGAGCCCGGCTCTGCCCTGGGCAACCAGGGATATAAGATGATCAAGACATGGGCTCTGTCCTCAGGTAGCCCCAAGGAGAGTCATGGAGGTGGGTGATGACAAAGCAAAGTGGTCCGATGAACATGCAGAGACAAGAAGGTATTGAGGTGGCAGAGTAAAGGATGGGATTGGGCGTGGGTGGTCAGGGAAGGCTTCCTGGAGGAGGTGAGCTGGGTTTTGAAAGATAGACTAGACAATGAAAGGATATTTTGGGTGTGGAGTGTATCAGGTACTGAGCACAGAGGTGTAAAAAACGGCACAGCGTGTGTGAGAAACTAATTACGGGCAGGTCAGAAAACAATAAATGGTTCTTCATGTTCTTGGCACCTGCAGCCTGATGTGGGGCAGGAATTAGTTTTAAACCCAGTGCAGGCTTCAGTCCCAGTGGAGTCTGAATTTTTCACTCTTAGCTACTTCTGCGAGTAACCAACATTAACCCCAGGTTCCCAGCCCCGGGGTGGCCCAATCCACAGAGAGAGGGCTGAGTGGGATGGAGACTTCATAAATATCTAGCTATATTTAGCCTGCCCAGCAGGCTACTGTCCCTTCATCTACCCCAAAGCCGACCCACAGGTGGCAGAATGGCTTTTTTAGTAGAAGAGCATAAATGTTTCTTAATTAAGAAATCCCGCAAAGGGGGCTCCTATCTTTGTGGCTGGGAGGACATCTGCTGTTCTATTTGCCAACATCCCCGGACACCTCCAAACTGGGTGGGTGGGTTCTCTCCCTCCCCATTAGCACCATAGCCCTGGCCACAGGGGGCGTGGCCACACTCAGGTAAGAAGACCTGGATTCCAGTCCCACCTCTGTCACTGACTAGCTGGTGACCCTCTGCTACCAACTTCACCTCCCTGAGAATCGGTGAATTCTGTGTGCACTGGCCTGAAAGCTACCCAGGCAGGGACTTATAAGCAGAAGGAGAGGCTCCTCTTCTATAAGCCAGCTTTGGGAATGCAGGAGTCAGCACCATGCATTTCAGTCCCTCCCAGAGGAAGAAACAACTATTTTATATATATATATATATGTATTTTATATAGCTCTAGAGCAGAGATGGGGTGATACCTTCCTTTCCTCCTAAAACCTCACATGTGTGACCCTCACCTTCTTCCCAGGATGCTACAAATGCCCAGCCTTAAGGCAGAATAAAGACTTATTCTAAAAATTTGGGGGCGGGGAGGAGGGTAGGCAGACAGACACAGATCCCAATCCCAACGCGCCCCCCCCAACACTAGCAACATGACCTTGGGTGTGTCATTTCCCCTCCACAGAGCCTCAGTTTCTTCAATATAAAACTGGGATACACACCTTTACCACGAAGCTTCTTTGCATACTGGGCACTGAGCCTCCAAGCCTCTGAGCAGCGCTGATCTATTCCTACAGTTACCAGGTATTTTCTAGCAAAGCCTTCGCTAGCCCACGCCCACCTTTTCCCAGCTCTGAATCCCCCTACTCTGGCCCTGAAAATTCTGGGGTTGTATTAATTAGGGGGCGATGCGCTCAGCAGCGGCGGCTGCGAGGGGTCTAGAGAGCCCCCAGCTGAGCGGACACCAGAGGGGGGCGCAGCCGGGGTGCGCGTGGGAACGTGGCCAAACCAAGCAGCATGTGCCGCGGGGGCGTTGAGCGGCTGGTAACTGAGGTACCCCTGCGAGCACCCCCCGCCCCCCACTCTCAGCCGCTGCAGTCTCGGCACAACTGGCGGCTTCTGGCCGTCGGAAGCTCTGAGAAGCCTGGCTCCATTCACGCCCCGGAGCGCCCCGGGCTCCTTCATCAGCGCCCGTGGGCTGGAACAAAGGCAACGCGGGGCGCGCAGCATCGCCTCAACGGCCCCTTCGCGCATCTAGCCAAAGCCGGGAGAAGGAGCACGGGGGTCCCCAAGGTAACCAGGACGCTGTACCCGCCCTCCCGGAGCGCAAAGCCCAGCCGCTCCGCGCGCGCTGAGCCGAGAGTCGGGAGGCATTGGAGACTCTAGCCCACGGCGCCCGCCGAGAGCGCTAAGGGAAGTGGGGGTGGGGTGGCTCTCCGGAAGTCACCCAGAGGGTCCCCCGAGAAGAGGAGAACCCCAGCGCCTGCCTCCCGGGCAGGGCTTCCCTGCGTACCTGGAAGGGTCCTGTGCACCGTGTTGCCCATCGCTGCGTCGGGGCGCGGCGTTGGCGGTGGCGCCGGCGCCCTCGGGACGCAGGGAGGCTAATTACGTGCTGGGCCGGGGACCCGGGCCGGGGTCTGGCTCCGGGGCATCGCGGCTGCACCGGCGAGCCGGCGGGCTGCAGCTGGGGCGGGTACCGAGAGGGAAGCGGCGGCAGCAGGAGGAGGCGGAGCCACCGGCCCGGGCCCGCCGGCTCCACCCCCGCCTCCCGCCGCCTCCAACCACGCCGGGAGGGGCGGGGCCGCGGCTGCCGCATCTTTTGAAAGTTTCCTCCGGGAGGCGGGAGGGGAACCGCCGAGCATCCCGCTCTCGCCGCTCCCGCGCCCGGGTCAGGAAGGCGCGCTGGGCGGTTGGGTTTCTTTGAGGATGTCAGGCTCGTCAGCCTGCTGGCCTTTCAGTCATTAACTCCAACATTTTGAGAAGGCTTAATGCGTGCCAGGCTCTGGGCCACCGGGGGCCAACCTCTCGCCCGCAGAGCTTCTGTGAGGGGGTGCGGGGGTGGGAAGGGTCCGGAACGAAAACACCGAACACAAGGTCACCTTGGACAGTGTAAAGAGCTTAAACAGTCCAACCAGGGTGACAGGTGGGGGGTGAGATCTTGCACCTACAAGTGGGAGAAACCTAGGCAGTGTCCACAGATTGGAAGGAGGGAACCTATAAATCATTAATTAAAATATTTATTGAGCACATCCTAGGTGCCATGCGCTGCGCTGGGCACTGTAGATACAGACAATGCATGCTAGTAGTGAAGACAGCAATAACAAGCAATTAGGATCAGATAATACAACGATCAAAGCCAGGACGGAAATAAAACAAGACTGATGGGGTGACTCCGTGGGGCTTAGGGAGAACCTGGGAGCAAGCCAACTCCATCTGAGGAACAGCAAAGAATCAGCATGGGAAGAGTGGGGGACAGTGTCTCTGGCAGAAAGAGTAACAGGCATTCCTCATTCATTCATTCACCCCACCTCTCCAGTAGGGGAACCCAGATCACACTCAGTAGGGCATGAAGCCTGCTAGCCCCTGTCCTCACAGGACAGGGCTCCATTTTTCAGATCAAAACACGGAGGCTTAGGAGAGGCAATGACTTGCCAAAGAAAATCTAATTTCAATCCAGTTTTTTCCCGACTCTATTTTCCATGCTCTTGTTTCCCTTGTGACTTTATGAAATACGTTATTACCCCCACTTCTCAGACAGGCAGATTGAGCCTCAGAGAGTGGAGAACAGGTGCCTCAAACTTCCGGGTAAAGCTGGCTGGAGCTGTGTGAATGAAAGGTGGGCATCTGGGAGACACCTCCCGGCACCAAGCTCAGCTGTGGTGCCTTCTGCCTGGAGTGCCTGGTCCACCCCAAAGGGTTCTTGCTCTTCAAGGTCAGGTTAAAGTCTCCACCTCTGGGAAGACATCTCTTTTCCCCGCCACCCCTGATTTGTCACTTATGCTTGAATATAAGGTGGCCTTGTGTTTGAGCCGCTGATTTCTTATATCATGGCTGCTCTCTCAGTCAGCTATTTTTTTTTTTTAAACTTGAGGTCCCGTTTAATGTACCCTTAGGAAGGGTACATTAGTTTCATATACCCTCAGTCCATGTGAGTTTGGGATGTATATAGAGGTCAGTATTATTATAAAAGGAGTCTAGAAAAGTTTACTCATATATAACAGTGCAATGCAAACAGTATTTTGTGACTACAAGTGTCCCAAAGGGAAGGTCACAAAGGGAGGGTGTTGCCAACAGGCCTTTTAAAGGTCACTTTCAGAGCGCTCAAATAACTGGCAGTGCTGTGCAAATAAAAAATGCACGCCTGCAAATGAAACCCCAACTGTCCAAATGCTCTGCAGATGGTACCTGCGGAGGGAACAGTGGCCCGTGGTCACCTGACATGTGGATCCAAAAGAGCTGTGTTTAACATCTTGGTCCCTGTGGTTAAGGTGTGCTCTGGAAAACCAAAAAGTCTTCCCCCTTCCGTCCCACCAGATGATGGTGACACTGATGTCAAAGCCATGTACAAAGAGTTTGAACCAAGTAGTTTCTTGAAATTTAGACTGAACAAAAGCATTCTTTCCAAATTAATATTTTATATAAAGATGATTTAAAATATTTATCTTTCAATAAGATCTTCCCTGGTGGCTCAGTGGCAAAGAATTCACCTGCCAGCCAGAAGGCATGGGTTTGATCCCTGGGTCAGGAAGATCCCCTGGAAGAGGAAATGGCAACCCATTCCAGTATTTTTGCCTGGAGAATCCCACGGACAGAGGAGCCTGGTGAGCTACAGTCCATGGGGCTGCAAAAGAGTCAGACATGATTGAGCGACTAAACACCACCACCAATCTCTCAAAAAAGAAATAAATATTACAAATAGACTTCTCTCTATCTCATCTCCACCCTTTAGAGTTTATGTTGTTCACCTTTACTGTGCATCTTTTACTGGGAGAATAGACAATGCCCTTAACCTTTCCTTGGGTCCAAGCAGTCACACTTATATGGTAGTTGCTCACCTCCTCTGAGGCCCCTCTGCACTTTGTCTTTTCTGTTACTTACATCTTCAGGGCAAGTGGTTGTACCTGTTACCCTTCCATCCTCTCTAGTGGCAGATGAGAAGCGTCCTGTGGGCAGGACCCGGGACATATTCACTTTGAATCCCCAGTGCCCGCAGTAAGAGTCACATACACATTTGAACAAACTGACTGCAGAGAGGCATTGCTGTGACGTGGGGGAGGAAAGGAGAGAAAGATGGAAGAAGGGCGGGAGGAAGGGATGGAAGAAGGAAGCGTAGAAAAGAGTTGTGAAGAAATGAGTTTTGGTTGATAGTAGCCCTGGACTTGGGTGTGATCAACAGTGATGTGTGCAGGGAGAAACAAAATAGGGAGGCATCAGTAGAGGTATAGTCTGTAGAACAAAGGAGGAGTTTGTTGTTTCCAGCGCATGATTAGACCTTTCTGGGAGAAGCTGCTTTGGTTACAGGCACCACACTTGAGAAGGAAGACAAAACTGCTCCACAAAGGTGGGTCAGGTGGCTTTGGGGGAGAGGGCGATCCCAGTCAGCCAGGAGGTGTGTAAACAGGAGCAGAGGGTGCGGAGCATCCCTGGGCTAGGACAGCAGCCTCTAGTCATGACCTCTCCTGGTCCTGACTTTCACACAGCCCCCTCCCCCTTAGCCACATTCAGAATCCAAGAGACAATACTAGCCTCCCTTGGCACCAGGACCCACGCTTGGGTTGCAGGGGCCCCTGGGTGGGGCTGCTTCCCCTGACTGTGCAGTGTTGGCACAGCCTCCCATGGCAGTGGGCAGAGGGAGGGCCTTGGCTGTGCTCCCTGGCATTGCTCCCTCTGGGCATGCCCTAGCAGATCCTGCCCCAGGCATAGCAGGCAGTCAGGTGCACCGAGTTGGTGGGAGTTTTGTCCTCTGTAGACTCCTGGGTAAAAGGCCCCTTCTTTCAGGGAACCCAAGGGCCTTTGCACAGGCTCCTCCTTGCAGCTCAAGAACACTCAAACCACAAAGCTTGGTTTTCAAATTGTTAGAGGAAACCTCTACTTTTCAGCAAACCCTGATCATCAAACCCTCGATTTCCAAACACAGTGGTCTTCACCCACAAAAGCAATGTTTTTTTCAGCTCCTGGTTACTAAGTGCCAACCACGCAGTGGGTATCAGGCTGGACCCTTTGAGTACTCCTTCTCACAGCCTAGCATTAATGCAATTCCTGTCTGACAGGAGAGGAAACTGAAGCGCAGTGCAAGGAAGGAACTGCCGAGTTCACCCCACCTGGAGGGGCAGAACGCAGAGGCTTCTAGCTGTCTGCTTATCATACAGAGGAGGAAACTGGCCTCGGGACGACAAAGCCACTCGTCCAGTGTGGCACAGTGGTGAGCAGAGGTGCCATGTGTCTCGAGTTCTAGCTCCCATACCTTCATACCTTCATTCACACCATGCTGCCCCCAAAGAGCGAACCATGTTTGTGAGCCACTGACTCTGGCCACAGTTTATGCAGCAGCCAAGACCAAAAGGGAAAGAAGCCCGGGCATGTGGCTTTTTCTCGTCCCGTTCTCTTGCTGGTGAGTACATGGTACCAGCATTTTTTCCGAAGGGGAGCTCATCACTGATACACAGGAGGACTGAATGGACAGAACCTTCCTCCAGAGTCTCCCTGAAGACACACCGACAGCATTCAGATGGATGAGTCCCCTATTGGCCATCTGAAAAGGCCACACACTGACATTTTCCTGAAATTCAATGGAGGCAGCTCTGCCACAGACTGGGGCCATGCATGTCCTGGACTCAGCTTTCTCATAACATACAGACAGAGCTTAGATGCTCTGAGACACACCGTCATGATGGCCATGGAATGGAAGCCTGAGGCAGGGGCTGAATTTAAATCAATTTATAATCCCAGTAACTTGCATTCACTGTGTAATTACAATGCTAATCACGACGCAGTAATAGCTAATAACATTTATTGAGTGTGGTATGCTGTTTTAAGTCCTTTAGATGCTTTAAGCTCACAATGACCCTAGGAGGTAGTATTATTAGTGTGCCCATTTTATGGATGGAGAAACCAAATCCTAGAGAGTGTAGGTGGCTTGCTCTAGCCACACAGGCAGAGAACAGTATGACTGAACATGTTAGGTTCTGATTTATTTAATCCTCACAATACCACTACGAGTAAGAAAAGGAGTTAAAGGATAAGGAGCTGTTTTGTAATTTGCTGCCTTTTAAAATCTTCCTCTCCTCCAGCAGTGTTAGGGGCCCTTATCATATCTATTCTATAACGTATTCTGGGAGGCTCAGAGAGGTGCAGAAACTTGTCCAAGCCACACAGCCAAGACGGGAGGACCTGGACAGGAAGCCAGCCTGCTCTGATCTCAGAGTCTGTGTGTTTCTCCTGTTGACCCTTCAGGTGGCTGAGAGTTTGCAAAGAGCTCAGCCTGGAGTAACCTTGGGGCTGGCCTGCGCTGACCCACCCCCGGCCCAGTGCACGGCTTGTCCTGGCCTGTGAGAGCCCACTCTCTGCGGCTACCCTCCCAGAGCTGTAGAGACCCCACCAGGGGGACCTGGATCTTTAAAGAAAAGTGGGAATAATGAATGTGGACAGGGCCAAATCCTAGCTACGCTACTTACTTACCTTGAATCTTGTTGGCTGTGTGTCTCTGTACAGTTACTTAACCTCTCTGAACATCGGTTGCCTCATCTGTAAAATGGGATGATAATTAATAATGCCTACCTGATAGCTGCTATAAACTTCCAATGAGATTATGATTGCAAAGTGTTTGGTACAGAATAGGTACTCAAGTGCTTATGAATGAATG